TTGACTGAACTGACTGTACTAACTGAACTAACTGTACTAAATCTACTAACTGAACTGAACAAAGTAAAAATATGAAACTATGTAAAAAAAATCGCCAGGAATTGTGAAAAAATAGTGTAAAAGTGTGAAAGAGTGTGGCAGTGTGTAAAAGAGTGTGGCAGTGTGTAAAAGAGTGTGGCAGTGTGTAAAAGAGTGTGGCAGGAGTAAAAAGAGTGTGCAGTGTGTAAAAGAGTGTGGCAGTGTGTAAAAGAGTGTGGCAGTGTGTAAAAGAGTGTGGCGGTGTAAAAGAGTGTGGCAGTGTAAAAGAGTGTGGCAGTGTGTAAAAGAGTGTGGTAGTGTATATGAAGTGTGTGCGTGCGTGCGTGTGAGAGAGGGGGAGAGACTTGATTGGTATGCCTGAAGAACTGTTGCTGTAGGGAGTCTTTTGTAGCTAAATAAAAGAAAGAGGCTGGTAGTATGTAGGCTGCGTGACGACTTGGTGTTATGTGACGGAGGGTGTATGACGGTAGGGTGTGTGACGGTGGGGTGATGTGTGGCAGTGGGGTGTGTGTGTGTGTGTATGTGTAGAGGTGGGGTATGTGTGTGGTGTGTGACAGGAGGGTGTGTGACGGTGGGTGATGTGTGACGGTAGGATGATGTGTGGTAGTGGGGGTGTGTGTATGTGACGGTGGGGTTTGAGTGACGGTAGGGTGTGTGTGGCAGTGGGGTGTGTGTGTGTGTGGGGTGGGGTGTGTGACGGTGGGGGTGACGATAGTGTGTGTGACGGTAGGGTGATGTGACTGTAGGGGGTGTGTGACGGTAGTGTGTGTGTGAGACAGTGGGGTGATGTGTGGCAGTGGGGTGTGTGTGTAACAGTGGGGTGTGTGTGTGTGCGGTAGGGTGTGTGACGGTGGGGTGGGGTGTGTGACGGTGGGGTGTGTGACGGTGGGGTGTGTGTGTGTGCGGTGGAATGTGTGTGACGGTGGGGTGTGTGTGTGGTGACAGTAGTGTGTGTGACGGTAGTGACGGTGGGGTGTGTGTGACGGTGGGGTGCGTGACCTTGTGTGTGTGTGTGTGACGGTAGGGTGTGTGACGGTGGTGTGTGTGTGTGACGGTAGGGTGTGTGACGGGAGGTGTGTGTGTGTGTGTGCTGTGGCTGGGTGTGTGTGTGACGGTAGGGTATGTGACAGTGGGGTGTGTGTGTGTGTGGACTGTGGAATGTGTGTGTGACTGTGGGGGTGTGTGTGACGGTAGGGTGTGTGTGACGGTAGGGTGTTAGTGTGACGGTGGGGTGGGGTGTGTGACGGTAGGGGTGTGTGACGGTGGGGTGTGTGTGTGAGACGGTTGGGTGCGTGACGTTGGGGGTGTGTGTGTGACGGTAGGGTGTGTGACGGTGGGGTGTGTGTGTGTGTGACTGTGGAGTGTGTGTGTGTGATTGTAGGGTGTGTGACGGTAGGGTGTGTGACGGTATGGTGTATGTGACGGTAGGGTGTGTGACGGTGGGGTGTGTGTGTGACAGTGGAATGTGTGTGTGTGACAGTAGGGTGTGTGATGGTGGAATGTGTGTGACGGTAGGGTGTGTTTGACGGTGGAGTGTGTGTTTGACGGTGGAGTGTGTGTTTGACGGTAGAGTGTGTGTGACGGTAGGGTGCGTGACGGTAGGATGTGTGACGGTATGGTGTGTGTGACGGTGGGATGATTGTGTAACAGTGGGATGTGGCCGTGACAGCTAGGTAATATGTGACGGTGGGACGTGTTACGATGGGGTGGTGTGTGACGCTGTGATTGTGTAACGATATGGTTGTTATGGTAAGATGTTTAGGATTTGTTTTGATTGGCTAAGATTGGTTGTGATTGGTTAAAATTAATTATGATTGGTTATGATTGGCTAAGAATTATTGTGATTGGTCAGGATTAATTATGATTGGTTATGATTGGCTAAGAATTATTGTGATTGGTCAGGATTAATTTAGATTGGTTATGATTGGCTGTGAGTGGCTATGATTGGCTATTGTTTTTAATTACCCAAAACATTTAAAAAAAACTTTCAAAATTTACCAGGATCTTTAGTCTTTTTCTTATTTATTTTATTTCCCTGTTTTTTCGTGTTTTTTTTTCAATATTTGGAATAAACTATGAAAGATAAATTTTATATATAGGGTAAAATAAAAAAGTGACCGTCAATAGACATAAAGAATTAATTGATTATCACGTAAAAAAAAATATGAACAGATACGTAAATAAATTCATGAAAAAAATACGTCTGTAAATTCATGAAAAAATATGTAAATATATTCAGGAAAAAATACGTTAATAAATTTAGGAAAAAATACGTAAATAAATTCAGGAAAAAATACGTTAATAAATTCGTGAAAAAATACGTAAATAAATTCATGAAAATAAACATAAATAAATTGTCAACATAAACAGGTGTAAATATTTTATTGACCTCACGATGACAATAAAAATTACTCGTCATGGAAAGCAAATATTTTTTTTTTTAAGAATAATTTCATGAATTTACATATGTATTTTTACAGGCGTTGATATACGATTTTTTTATTTTTTTTAGCATATTGTGTTAAATTTTACGTTCGAAAGAGTTTTTGAAATAGTGTGTGTGTATTTTTGGGTCACTTTTGTCCCTTTGTGGCTTTTCAGATATTATTATTATTATTATTATTATTATTATTATTATTATTAAATCAAGATCTAGAAATGGAATGAGCGAAATAGAGGAGAGAAGAAAATGAATTAAGAAACCTGATGAATACACGCAATAGATGGAGAGTAATAGATGAAATATATAAACACAAGATTTGATAACAGTTTCGTGATGTATAAAGATTCTATACGTTAATCTCATCCTATAGCTAGTGATAAGGGATTGAATCTCATTAAGGTAGGATCTGGGTTGTTGTTTTTTTTTCTTGTAGTAAATGAAGTTTAGAGTTAAATCCCTTATTGTACCTTCATCTATGAGGAAATTTAACGTAAGTAGGTTTAAGAATCTAGTGAAGAAGCGTCCCTCCCTTTAACAGTGATAGATGGTACTAGGGGAAGGTACAAGATGGTTATAATACTAGTCAAGAGAACTTAAGGTAAATAAATGAATACCTGGGGAGGGAAAGATACGTGAGTGGTAGTTGAAAAGATCTAATCTGAAACACGGTACTCAACATCAATGGCCTCTCGACCCTAAAACTCAATACACACACAGTTCAGTACAAAAACAAACTCCTTCTAGATACAGGTTCAAGTTACGTGTCGATTTATACCACCAACAAGATAACACGAATAAATTGGAGAATATATACAGCAAATCGTCCAATAATTTGTTGCGGGGAGAAGTGTAATATCAGAGTTGGGAGGACGATGAGTTACTTCCCTACATCAAAATTAAGTTACACGGGGCTGTATGGACATATTGAGAAAGTGGGGAACGAGAGATTGGTACAAAAAATAAAATAAAAAATAGTGTAATTCAGAAGTGGATGGCAGGAAAGAGAGAGGGGAAGACCAAGGAGGAGATGAAAGGATGGGGGAAATGAAGGGGAAGAGGGAGATATATAGGGAGAGACAGAGAGGGTAAAGGATGGACAGACACCCAGGAAAATAGAGATGTGAGTGTGTATGATAGGAAAGTCTGGCGTCAAGTGGTTTATAGTGAAGGGTGTTGGGCTGGGTGTAATGACAGGCGAAGATCAGATGAAGATATTCAGTCCTTGTTATGGAAAGGAAAATATATCTGTTTACAGTTAGAGCGAACAGGAATGATAGAGAATGAGAGTTTGTGCAGCTGTTGATGTTGGCCAAATAGTGTCCCATGTGATGATTTTTGTTAGAGGGAATATACACATATAGCCATACATGCATGTACAGTCGCCTGCACTTATACCTAGTACAGTACCTGATGTATATTATGAGAGATGTGGCAACTCTGTGTTTGTTTACATCGTATTAAAACTCCCGGAATGGCCCTAAGGATCCTCTCAATAGTAGCCAGACTAAGGAGGCTAGATAAATATACACAGAGTTGCCACATCTTACAAAACGCATCAACCACTGAGCCAGGTCTAAGTGCAGGCGACTGTACATTGGTGGAGAGAGTCTACTAACCCCTTGTGTACGGCATATATACACACTTACTCGTATAAAACACTTCACGTCATGAACGCACGTGGGGGAGCTCATTAGCAACACAGAACAAATATAACATGTGAGAGAGAAGTCGGTAAACGAGCTTTGTTCCTCACACGGAATACGATTAACGTCAAAAAACACCCCTGTGACGGTAACACAGGAATCATTGTCACATTCACCTGTTGGTATACTGAGAACTTTATGTAAACGTCGTTATCACTGTATAGATCATTGCCATTCACACAAAAATTCCAGACATTGTTCTCTGTTGAAACTCGTCCATCACAATTCTCTCTTGTCATCTGAGGCGTAAACAGCCTCCCTTACCTGATAGTGACGTCTGTTGGAGCCTGAGTGAGTGTCAAAGGTGACGGGGTGAGGGTGACGAGGCGAGGCCAATATGCATTCCAAAGTGTGCTGTAGTACAATGTGGTGCGTGTAGTGGTACCCTGTGTGCAGTGGTACACTGTGTGAAGTGGTACCATGTATGAAGTGGTACACTTTGTGAAGTGGTACAAAGTGTGCTGTAGTACAAAGTGTTCTATGTAACAAAGTGCCCTGTGGTGCAAAGAGAAATGGACGTGTTATGAATCACAGGTGTAATTTGGCGTGAGGTAGAGAGCCATCCATCGTGTGCAATATGTGCCTTTATAGAGGCGTGTGTGGCCGATTATTACATCTCCTCCTGTTGACATTCCTTTGTGGCGCTGTTATGAGGCATCAAAGTAAATTTACCCACACTGCTGCTACCTCATGACTGCTGCATCACCGACCTATTGCATGACTCTCTCTCTCTCTCTCTCTCTCTCTCTCTCTTATTTTGTAATATGTTAGGGAAGGAAGGCGCGCGCAAACACACACACACACACACACACACACACACACACACACACACACACACACACAAATACAGACAAATAACAAGAGCCACAAATGAGCTCTAGGTCGCTATAGAGCCGTCACAACCCTCAACAACAACTCTATTAACTATACACAACACAAACTATAAGTCATGTATTAAGAAGTCAAACAGGGGGCTACTACCTCCTCCTCCTCCTCCTCCAGCAGGTGAGGGAGGTGGGTGTGGTCCCTTCCTCCTGCTGGTGACGTGAGTTACCTGTGTGTGTGTGTCGTTACCTGAGGCTGGACACATCCTTACCATGGACCCCGGCAAGATCTTCCAAATTATTACCAACAGTACGCTGCTTGGTGAGTATATATATGTCTGTCTGTCTGTACCTTTTGTGTATGTTTGTATTATATTGGGTTGGGTTGGGGTGATACAGCGGCCATGACTTCTATCTGAGTGTTATCGTAAAATTCTGAATTTATTCCAATCGCTAACACAATAATCACCACTACACAAAAAAAATGGATCTCTCTCTCTCTCTCTCTCTCTCTCTCTCTCTCTCTCTCTCTCTCTCACTGACATATACACAGACACACACACACACACACACACACACACACACAGTCCAAGCTCCACATACATACTACATGGAATTTCCAAGTGAACTCAGAGTATCATGTGTGCCGCTGGGGGTCATATATCACACACATACACACACCCTGTAAGATAGGATGGATGTAGTAGATCTCCCATGGTCAAGATATATTGGAGGTAGTTGGATTTTTACGACAAGCTGACGGTGATTCTCCTGGTACTGACTCACACCCGATATCTGTCACATATTCCCATCTCAATGAGGATTTGGATACGGGGGAAGCAAGAGAACGTTCAACTTTAGAGAGAGAGAAAAAATAGAGTGAGAAGGAGAGAGAAAGATAGAGAAGAGATACAGACAGAAATAAAGGGAAAAATTCAGTGGAGAGAGAGAGAGAGAGAGAGAGAGAGAGAGAGAGAGAGAGAGAGAGAGAGAGAGAGACTGTACCTCAAATATCACACACAACACTTAAATAATTCTTCCTACATAATCTCGTTCAATAATAACCACTGTTTCATAATTAAAAAAATTCTACAACACTCACTGAAATATGTTCTGTTACTCCGTTGTCCAATCCATTCCATGAAGCAGTGAATCCGAGACTTATGAACCATTGAATCCGAGACTTGTGAACCAGTGAATCTGAAACTTATGAACTAGTGACTCCGAGACTTATGAACCAATGAATCCGAGACCTCAAACAGTACGGTAGCATATGGGCCTAATAATGTCACTGTGTTAAGTCTCGGATTCACTGGTTCACTAGTCTCGGATTCACTGGTTCATAAATCCCGGATTCACTGGTTCATAAATCATAGGCTTCATAGATGGGACGGATAACTGACATGACATTTTTTACCGTCATTGTGCCTACCATAACACTAACACATTTATCATAAATAAACAATAAACAAAAGACAAACAACAACAACACTATAATTCACAGGTCAACCACAACAGTTGTTTACACTTGTTTGGTTTTTTACCGTTTACTTTTTTTTTTACTTTTTTTAAACCAATGTCAGTCAATTAAATTTATTCCCTGAGAGCAATTAATGTGTGTGGTGCAATGATGTGGAGCTGACCAGTGTTATACCACAGTTTAATATGACGGATAAATGTATTTGCTTAGAAGGTTTTTTTTTAGTCAGGCTTTTTCTGCCCTTCCTTAACTGACTGAACTAGTTTTTCCCACGTGAAGGAGGCTGCTGCACCTACGGGAGGGAAGGGGGGGGGGTGTTTCTGAGGCCGTGTGTGTGAGCTGTGGACCTGACCTGTGTATAGTGATTCTTGGGCGTGTGTATCCAGAAGTTTGTTTGCCAGAGCCTGTTGGTTACTGGTGACTATTACCATTATCACAGGCGGTTACAGCGAGACCGTCACCCATACTGTAATTAGTTGCGTGACGTCATTATTTTAAAATATTCATAGATTATTACATTATTATAACACATATAAATGTGATAGAAGTTAATACAAATTAATCTAACTGAACCAAACATAATCTAATGATCGTATTACGGGTATAGTGAGGTATGTAATCTCTCTCTCTCTCTCTCTCTCTCTCTCTCTCTCTCTCTCAACGCTGTGTCCCAACATAACCCAATCAGATGCTAGACAGGGTTAAACCGTTGGCTTCAAAAGGTTAAGCCATTATTCTTAAAAGGGTAAAAACATTGTCCTCAAAAGGTTATGTACTGAATTATCGACACTTTCTTCAAATCCTCGTAAATAAAAATCATGAATTACTTAACTCCTTCACTACAGGGAGGCTACTTTTAATAATTTATTTTGTTAATGACGGACGATTTTATTCAGCAGATAGGGGACCCTGTATATAAGAGGTTAGTAAACTATCTCCACTTAGGTACAGTCGCCTACACTTATACCTGGTACAGTAGCTAGCGCATCTTGTGAGATGTGGCACCACCGTGTAATACTTAGCATCCTCAGTCTGTCTATTATTGCGAGATTTCTTAAGGTCATTCTGGGAGTTTTAATACAAGGTTAAAAAAAATAAAATAAACAAACACAGAGTTGCCACATCTCACAAAAACACATCAGCCACTGTACCATGTGTTAGTGTAGGCAACAGTGTACATACATATAACATGCTAGCTAGACCTACACCACTGTCAGCTTCGTCCACCCCGGCTCTCACGCCCCACCAACTAAATTTACACTCCCAGCTGGGGTCTGTCGGGCACCAGCTGTTTCCTCCAGACGACGTGGTGCTGGAGGGGAATTTAGGTAAAGGACATTATTCTGGACGTGTTGTTCCCACCCACGACGTGTTGATCCCATCCAGGACGTGTTGTTCCCACTCAGGACGTGTTGATCCCACTCAGGACGTGTTGATCCCACCCACGACGTGTTGATCCCATCCAGGACGTGTTGTTCCCACCCACGACGTGTTGATCCCATCCAGGACGTGTTGATCCCATCCAGGACGTGTTGATCCCATCCAGGACGTGTTGATCTCATCCAGGACGTGTTGATCCCACTCAGGACGTGCTGTTCCCACTCAGGACGTGTTGTTCCCACCCAGGACGTGTTGTTCCCACCCAGGACGTGTTGTTCCCACCCAGGACGCGTAGTTCCCACCCATGACGCGTTGTTCCCACCCACGACTTGTTCCCACTCAATACGTGTTAGCGGCGGTGGCTCAGTAAAGGAACAGTAAACTCTTTAAACAAGTACAAGTTTCTATGTTTGTCGCTGAAGAGTATTTGTTTGTTTGTTTTACCGTCAGCCGTCTCCTGCAGGAACACAGTGGCAGGGAACATAAGTAACACTCACCTAACTCTTCCTTATACTCTGGAACCCATATAAACAGTGTACATGGCTGAGTGTGCAGTAAGTAACAGTAACAAATAATATATAAGCAGTGTGTACATGACTGGGTGTGCATTAACACAGTAACAAATATACATACAGTCTACATATACATTAAGTAACAGTAACTATACATACATACAGTCTACATGGCTGGGTATACATTGATTAATACTCTATATAACCATTGTATTATGTTAATCCTCCATAGATCTTCATTTAATCGTTTAGTGACTCGTTTTTCGATTTAATTTCTACTGTGATAATTTCAGCTATTTACGCCTGGCAGTTTAGTAGCGCTTCTCTTTACCTGTTAGTGAGGTCATTAGTGCCAGGTGATTTTCCTCTTTTGTTTATTAGTTGTGTGTAATAATGGTCTATTTTTAGTGTTGGAATAGACGTGTGACCTGTGCCTAGTGACCTGTGCTTAGTGAACCAGTAACTAGTGATCTGTGAGCTGTGCCTAGTGACCTGTGATTTGTGACCTGTGACGAATGAAAGTAGCAGCTATGAAACTATATATAGACCTGTGTGTGTGTCGACTTGTGCTGTAATGGTCAGCATCCTCGCCTCGCAAGCGAGTGGACCCAAGTTCGATCCTCGGGTAGGGTGAAACTATGGGCATGTTTCTTTACGCCATTTGCCTCTGTCTACCCAGCAGTAATTAGGGACCTGGATGTTAATCAATTTACGGATCTTGTTCCGGGGTAATGGTTAGCCAGTGCAGTTGGCGAGTTGTCCGGTCTTTTCGGACTATTCCTTAACACTGGGTCATGCAGCTCATTAACTTAGGATGTGGTTGTTGTGTTGGCGACAGCTTCTACACCTTAAACAAATTCACGTCTAGGTGGTCCTTGGCCGGCCATCCTCGATTTCGAGGGGCTTCCATTATTTATTTTGTGTGTGTGTGTAATAATAATAATAATAATAATAATAATAATAATAATAATAATAATAATAATAATAATAATAATTATAATAATAAACGGTTTATTGAAAAAGTTTGCAGCCCGAAGGCTGAAAATATACATTGGACATAAATGACTTATTACATACACTGGTGGTTTAACAAAAGCCTTCATTAGAGAAAGGTGAAGGAACATACAGTGAACATACAGATTAATGTTTACACACGTAGATCGTGTGAGCTGAGGTGTTGAACAGCAGACACGTAGTGTAGTAGCTCCCTCACAGATGGCGTTATGAGGGGCATCACGTGGAGTACTAGTTCCCTCACAGGTGGTGTTATGGGGGGCTTGACGTGGTGTAGTAATTCCCTCACAGGTGGTGTTATGAGGGGCTTGACGTGGTGTAGTAATTCCCTCACAGATGGTGTTACGAGGGGCCTGATGATGTAGTAATTCCCTCACAGATGGTGTTATGAGGGGCATCACATGGTGTAGTAATTCCCTCACAGATGGTGTTATGAGGAACCTCACATGATGCTGTAGCAACTCATTCACTACGTGGTGTCGTAGCATCATGGGGACACCACGTGGTCTGTTGTCACAGGACTTCACTCACTCAAGTGGGTAAGGTGTGGTCCCAGGCCTGTGTGTGTGTGTGTGTGTGTTTGTGTGTGTGTGTGTGTGTGTGTATGTGCTATTCTTGCTAACACCAACTGTAGGAGCATCGAGGCTACCATTATCCACGAATAACTACGTTGGACTGACCATGTTACCCGCATGGACGACGAAGGCTGCCAAAGCAGCTACTTTACAGTCACCTAACGAATAGTAAACGTAACTCTGGCAGGCAACTGGAAAGGTATAAGGATAGTTTTAAGACAAACCTGAAAAAGTGCCATATCGACCCCCTCACCTGGGAGACGATTACTCCACACCGTAACGCTTGGAGGAGCACCACACAAGAAGGTGTCAATACTTTCAAGTTAACCAGACTGCAAACCGAGGCAGACAAGAGCCAACG